GGACATGCATGGGGTATTTGAGGCGAAACACCACTCTGATGCTTCATCCATGTTGGTTGCAGAGAAGGACAGCAGTGGGATCTGCTTTCATCTCCTGCCAAACATCTGTGTCTCAGAGAGGCCAGCAAACAGCACAGTCATCTCTTGATGCTGTATCCGGCGTTGCTGCTAACCAAAAACTAACCTGGAGAGGAGATATAAACAACCTTATCTTATTCTTCCTTTCTGCCTTGCCAAATAGAGAAATTCCATGAAATGAGTGTTTGCAATTTCACCAGAGTATGGAGAAATATTTTAATCATACTAGTAATGCATTGAAATTTCATACAACCAGTTAGAAGCAACAGAAAATACATAAGATTTGTAAGGGGTGATCATTATTAGTTCCTCAGCAGGTTTATCTTAAACAACTCAGAAAAAGAGGAAAACTTTGATTTTGAGTTCGTGTTAACACCTGACAGGTTTTTTATCACACTTTTTAAAAGAAGTGTTCAGAGCAAATAAATTTTGAGGAGAAAAAGTTTCAATAATATTATTATGTACATTTAATTCATGGTTTGGAACAGCATGCTGGAATGTAGAATTTTTACACAAAATAGCAGAACTTAGAATTCTAAATCTTAACCTCTTTTCTATTCCAGATTTTCATCAGTTTATAAACACAAGTGCTACAAATGGTCTTGTGTATTCTAAGCTACTATGCTAGACTCCTTCTTTCTCAAAGTTCATACATTTATCTTCTACCCAACCTGTGCCCTGTGAGAACAGATCTAGTTTAAAAAGTTTTTAGAGACTCCTGTGGTTCCCAAAAAGAAGAGGGAAAGTATTAACAAGACCAGTACAGGAATAGACCTCAGAAGACACATAGGCAGACCTTGCTTTCTATGGTAGAATCTCATTTTTGGGAACATTTTTCACTTATTCTGCTTGCATTTCTTGCTTATGGTAGTTATATTGCCTGAATTTCCATAGTTAGGGATTTTCGTGGCTTAACAAACATCATTTTGGGATTATAATACTATCTAGATTGTCAAAGGGTCATATATTTACATTCACTTATCAGTAAGAGTGAGTTCACGAAATGAGAAAATAGTATTTTGCTGGTTTGAGATAAAGATAGCTATACAGCTATATATAGAGATTTCTAGTGTTGCTTCCATGCACATATTTGCCCAAAGTCTATTCCACAACCAAGGGGAGAAGGAACAAATTGTATTGTGCTAGTAAGCTTTCTGTAACTATAACATATATCTGAGATGAATCAACTTAAAAAGAGGAAAGGTTTATTCTGATTCTGTTCTGGAGGTTTCAGTCCATGATTGACGGACGCCATTGCTTTTGGTCTATGGTGGCACAGCATATCATGGCTGAAGCATGTGGCAGAGCTGGCCTGTTCACCTCATGGACAGGTATGAAATAAAGAGAGAAAGAGGAAAAGGCTGGAATTCCAATGTTTTCTTCCAGGGCATGCCTCCAATGACCAGGAGACCTCCCACCAGGCCTCACCTGTTAAAGGTTCTACCACCTATCAATAGCCTCACAGGCTGGAGACCGAGCTTTTAATACATGGACCACTGTGGAACACTTATCCATACCACAGCATGTATCTGTCTATCTATCTATCTATCTGTCTATATGTCTATGTATCTCTCTGTCTATCCATCTATCATATATCCATCCACCTATAGAGAGACTGAGCTTAAAACTCTGCCTCTCAGTTTTGAATGTCTTTTCTGTTCTTAAAACTCTGGCTTATTCATTTTACAATCATGAAAGCTGAATACCATTGACATCATTACTTAATAACAAAAAAGTGTATTCTAAGATAAAGTAACAAATTTAATTTAAAAAACATGTTTGTGTCTCCATTGCTTAGGGCCTTTGATGGCTTGTTATGCAAGTATGGCCTCTATTGTCTTTTAGGCTCTGGATGAGCTTTACTTGTACAAATAAAATAGGATATAGAAAGAGGTAATAAAGGCAATGTAGAAAACAGGGAGTCTTAAGTACTTGGGTATTCTATAAATTACTAAATCACAAGATGCTCTAGGAATTTTAATTTATCCAATTGGTAATTTTAAAATAAACACATAAAACCCCCACAAATTAAAAATGAAAACTGAGTGACATACTTCCTAAGGTAAGAAAGGCTGATTTTAGATTGTTTTAGGTAGCATGAAAGGAGTGCAGGGAAAACAATCAGGTTAATTTTGATATGCTAAGTGATACATTTTCAAATGGTTAGACCATCTACCACAAACCTGGAGGTAGTGGAGCACATGAACAGAAGAGTGGGCTCTGTACTCAATCATACCTGTGGACCTCTGGCTCACTAGTTGAAAGCAAATAGTTCTAGAGCAATTTTTAAAAGCCCTCTGAGCTCTAGTTTTCTCATCAACAAAATGGAAATAATAATAATAATATTCATAAGACTTGTGAGAACTAACTGAAGAAATTCAGTTCCTGTAACACAAGTACCCAACAAATGGTGGTTATTATCATGTTAGAAGTTCTTTTAAAATCTTCACTATTATATTTGTACTTAAGTAGAAAGTTTAATTCTTTGTTCTACATATTAATGTTTGGGGATATAAAGTAGGGTCTAGGTAATAATGTACATGTTATTTTTCATTTGTAAATACTCCTTAATACTAATATTAATTTTTTAGTGAACACTGTGCCAGGCTATTATTGGTGAATTCTTATGTATAAAGGTATATTATACAATTTACTGCAGGATGTTACCAATGTGAGCTATTCTTAAACTTTGCTTAATGTACTATGATTTTTTAAATGTTTGACTTCAGTAGAGCCTAAATTGCCAAATCACTCTGACCTTTTTCTTTAAAATGAAAATTCTTTACAGGGAATAAACAGGGTTTAGCTTCAGAGATGTAGACTAGAAACAGTCCCTGAAGGCACTTATTCTCCAGAATTAGAGAATATTCGTAGAAGAATGACTCACTTATGTGGTGGGATGCATATTCTCTCACATGGTCCTTAGAAAATCCATTTGCAATTTTAAACTTATTTTATTCTAATGGATTAAAGAAAATAATTTCCAATTCTAGTAGATGCAGTGTTTAAATCTGTCTCATAATTTTCTTTGATATGTGAAATGTTTTTCACTAATGCTGGCAGAGGAGTGATTAAATGACTAATAAAGAGATTGCAAGGCAAAGGATGCAATCAGTTTCTTTAATATAACCTATTTTAAAATAAATTCCTTCAGAACTGGTGACAGACATAATATATTTGGGAATTTCGTGCTCTCCTTTGACTTTTCATTTTCATGGCTTACTACTCTTTCTTCTTCTCCTTCTCTTTCCTCTTCCTCTCCTTCTTCTCTTTCTCTTCCTCTTCCTTTTCATCTCCTCCTCTCTTTCTCCCTCCCTCCTCTTTCCCCTTCCCCTCTCCTTCCTCCTCCTTCTATCTCAGATTGACCAAAGCTCAGGTATAATGCCCATTTTTGTTAGTTCGAGCATTTTTAAGTATATATTCCCTTGCAAAACTTGTCTACCCTGTTTCCTTCAGTCTTATTATCTGAACTGTGTTAAAGTAATTTAAAGACCTTGGTGATTATGCCTTCAAAAGGCATAATAACCTTTACAATGGACCTCAATCCTTTTTTTTTAAATGATTTTATTATCATACTGTAGTTGTACAGGGGGATTTATTGTGATATTTACATATATGTTTAAGATACATCTTAGTTGGATTTACCCCCTCCATTTTTCTCCCCCTTCCCCTCTCCCCCTTCTTAGAACAATTTCAACAGAGTTCATTTTTCTATTTTCATGTATGGATATAGGACACATCCACCATATTCACCCTCATTCCCTCTTTCCTTGTGCCCACCCCCTCCCACTGGTAGCCATCCCTGGAAAAAGATTTATTTTTCCCTTCTGCCCTTCTTTTTTTAGTGATAGTCCAAGGGAATTTTGCCTTGGTACTTCAGCTTTGCATGTATCATGCTTATATCAAATGAACTCCTTCCCCTCTGCTACTTACTCATTCTTTATCACCATGCTCCCCCAATATTCAAGAGCTGACTTACTGTACAGTGCACTATTCAATGATCCTCAATTCTTGAATCCACAGAGTGTTGGTTATATTTCTCAAATAAAGTCTTACTAAATTTGTTTCCTAATCACTAAAGCCAAACTCACTACGTGAAAAGTTCTATCCTAAAGAGTACAAATGAGGTCTCCTTTTCAGAGATGCACATGTGACTGACAATTCTGGGATTTTACAGTTTTATTTAGGCACTGAGAATCTATTATTTCCACTGTTAGAAAAGAAAGCTCAGAAAGCATTTGTTTCCTGCTGCAGTCCTTCCTTCCTTTTCTAGTTATGAGCAGGAAATGCTAAAACCACTGTATATCATCTGTCTTCAACTTCCGTCAAAAAGGGATTGCTGCTCAAAGATCATCTGGAACTTGTCTGACTTTGATAATGTAATGCAGAGCAGTTCTAAAAATAAAGACAACATTGTTGTGACCATTACAAGCAGCTTATTTCATCACTGTTGCTTTTCACTTGAAGTCTTGTGCCTTGTATGGTGTTTTCTGTTTCTCAGAAACAGAAGTAGAGTCATTGTGTTTTAATGCTTTGGGAATGCTTGAGTACAGAGTCTGTATTTTTGAGAATATTTGGTTCATACAAGGAAAGTCTGTGTTCCACAAGTATAATGTTTGAGGCATACAAGTAAGATTAGCACCTATGAGAATTAAGTCTGAGAATGGACTAGAAATACATTGCCCAATAAAGAAGTGCATATATATTGATAGCATATTCATCTTCTTAATAGAAAGTATAAGAATGTTATTGAACAGGAGATCTAAGACTTTTGAGGCAGCACCATGTTATTTGTGCTTATTTGCATTTATTCTAATCAAATATAGATCCTCAAGGTTATTAGTAATCTTATGATTCACTTCACTTGTTATAATTTAGTTCTACAGCTTGGTCTTTTTTTTTTTTTTTTTTTTCCTTCTTAGATACTAGCTCAATCATGTACTGAAATCCTGGAATTGAGACCCTCAAGTGTCTGTGTTGGGGGTAAGTGTTTAGAATTTAAAAGTACTATGTATGAAATTGTATTTTTCCCTAGCTAAAATGTATGATTTGAAACTCATATTGAAAAGAGAATAGCAAAATTAACTTTTTTGGCATCTTTTTTTTTTGTGCAAGAATTTTTAAATAATTCCTTGAAATATTTCTATTTTAAATTCAAATTTTTAAGAGTGGAGTGTTATTTTAAATAATGAGCATATTGTGTGACAGGCTTTTAGAATCTTCTATATATTTAGTTCATATTTGAGACCTTTCCTATGGCAAAATAAAATACGAAATCTTTTCTTTTAACTGACTATATCTGTGGACTTTGAGCTACGTGCTTGGATAACCTGGCCAAGATACAGTTTCTGCCAGCTCGAGGCACATAAGGAAGTGACTTATGGGTGGGTGGCAGGAAGGAAGCAGGTGGCTTCATCAGCTGGTGCTCAGAACAGACTCAGGTCTCACACCTCCCAGCCATCCTTGCCCAGAGACTCTGTTTCTCTCTGCCCTATTTTTCTTTCTTTTTAAAGTTTGACCTAGAGTTCACTTTTAAAATTTTTTATTAGCATATATTACTTGAACAGGTGGTTTCATTGTGACATTTACATATGTGCTTACAATGTATCTTAATTAGATTCACTCCCTCCATCATTTTCTGTCATTCCCTCTTCCTACAGAACAATTTCAACAGGTTTCATTGTTCAACTTGTATACATGTATACAAAGTACATCCACCATATTGGCCCTCAACCTACAGTTTATTTTAATCTGACATCACTAAGAAAGGGAAAGTAGGGGGAAAGGGGGAACATATTGTATATTTTACCACCCAGCTTCCTAGCCCACTGGACATGGTCTTAAAATCTTCCTCTTCTAGACTCCCTAGTAATGAGCATCAACATGTTTAGGAGAGGTAGTGTCTCAGAACATCCCAGAGCAGAGTGACCTTTTCTGAAGGTATAGATTAACAAATTCCTAGAGATAACAAAGGAAAATAATTGGAAAAATAATACTGAAATAAAACAATATAGCTGTTCTTTATTAAACTCTACATTTTGCTGTTTATATACTGTGTCCTTTGCAAGTATAAATTTGCCTAATCCTCATAAAAATACTATTTGTTAATTTTATAATTCCTGGTTGCAGATGGAGGAACTGAGGCAGAGACAAGTTGAGCACTTGCTATTAGTAATTTTTTTGTTTGGTCCTTATCTGTCTGATCTAATGCCCATGCTCTTACAAAATCACATTTATAGTTTTACCTGCATTTATTTGAGTTTTCAGTGTAGACTTTTTTTCCTAACACATTGAATGCAGAGTTTTGTGTCCTTAGTTAATGACTATAAGTGTGTTGGACTATGTTAGGCAGGAGAGGTTTGAGAGGATGGAGAGTGTTAAAATGGAGATGAAGCCCAAAGAATACCTGAGCAAATCCAGTTAGGCCTCATAAGTGACTTTCGCTTGATTTACAAACATAAGCGAAACTTGAGCTATGTCTTATAAATGTGTGTACTAAAGAAAAACAGAACTTCAGCTCACCAATCAAAAGCAACCAACAGATTTATGAATCATAGAAGTAGGAACTTTCCAACAGAATGTTGCTGGTGTTACCAATTCCTTTGCCTTACTTCCATGTTCCAGCTATGAAAACCTTCCCCAGGGTTCCTGTGGTAGAGTTCCCAAACTGCTTCTGACTTGGGACCGCCCAACTCATAAATTGTAGTTTGCTCAAATAAACTCCTTAACATTTTATTGTGCCTCAGTTTGCCTTTTTAATAAGTTAATCATTGTTAAAAAGTTAATATTCCCTCTTGTAGGCAAGTGCAGCCTATCAGATATTAGATCTGTTAACTTTTCTTCTAGCACATTCTTTCACTCCCTAACACTGAGTGCCTGTCCCTACAATATAGGTAGGGTGCAAGAAGTTAAATAAACTTCCTTTAGTCACTGGTCATAGATTATTAATAATCCAAAATACATGACCTCTGGCGATATATAAGTTAGTATGTAATAGAAAATGAAAACAAATGAAGAAGCTGTTAAAGAAGAACTCTGTATAGGAGAGACATAAAGGAAATAAGTACACATGACTTTTCTAAGAACCATAGAAAATGAATAATTCTTTACATACCTCAAATTTAATACCCAAGAGTGGAAAAGAAAATAAATAGGCTTCTTTCTTTTTTTCTTTCTTGATGATAATTTTATAAGGATAGAAATTAGGGAATGTTGTATGATATGTGTCTTGGAATGACTATTATGCTTTAATTCTAGTACCTTGGTCACTATTGGGAAATATTCTTAGAGAATAAAATAATGTCTCCTTATGTGGCAATGAATGGTATCTTCACCACATTTACATAGGTGGTTGAAGAAAGCAAGCCCAGTTGGAAATATAGAGTTGTGTTTTCATTGTTACTAGTTGACTGAATGGTATAAAGAAATTCATTCTGTATGCCTTGATACTTTAAGTAAAATCGTCAACTTTTTTTGTAAAGCAGTGATTAACATGTTTCTCTTTTCCTTTACTTCTAGAGGAATTTCAAGTCGTTGTGAGTGGAAGAGGCTTCATGTTGGGCAGTCGGAATGGCAATGTCCTCTGTGTTTTCACTGTAAATGACACCTACACAAAGAGTAGGTCCTCTGCAATCTCAGTGCCAAATTCATGTCTGCACAGCACACAAACATAAGTGTCTTCCTCTTTTTCCCAACTAAAATCAGCTATGTTATAGTTTTTAGTCAGAAAAGAAAGAAAGGAAATCTCTGTGATAATACAAAGAGCAGTGTTAGTAGTGGCAACATTAGTTGAAGGCTTAATAAATGCTGGACCCTATCCTAAGGAGCCTCGTTACTCAGATGATGCTTTGTGGTTGAAGGAATAACTTGCCCAGAATGACACAGATAATAATGCACAGAGCAGGTTGCTGAATCCAGTTTTCATTGTTGCTCTAGATGGATGAACCACATCAACCATTTCATTAAATTCCTCTTTTCCCAGACTTATTTTTTGTCACTCTTGCCCTAAAATGCAGTTATTTTGGATTTGAACTATTATACTGCCTTATTTTTTGTCTCTTGTTATCTTTATCTATCTTTGTAGTAACTTGTCAGTTTTTTGAAGATAGCTCTTTTTCTTTTTTTCTGTTATTGATTATTTTGTAATCCCATCACTCATTTATAATATTGTTTGCTGGTAATGATATTAAATGGATCTTAATATTTTGAGCATTTTGGATCTCTATTAAAACATTTTCCTCACTGATGTTTATGTTCTCTAAAAATTTGTTTTATAAGGCAGAGTCTATAACCCTGAGAACTCCAGTAGAATTGGGTTTTGAGAGATCCATGAAGAATTTTGCTGTTTCTTTGACAGTGTTAAACACTCTAATTAGCAAAGCTTTGGCCACACACACGCAGTAATTGTCCAAAATGTGTTTGTTGAATTAAAGTGATGAGGATTTCAGCATGGTAAATGTCATCATTACTTCATCTTTTTCTTATTATGAGCACCATTTGGTAAAGCAAAACAATCTATTGTAACAAACTCTTCATAATAAATTCCACAATTGAGTAGGAAAAACTAGTTTTATTTTTACTCAGAAATAATTTGTATGTGAGTTTTACATAACTCCTCTTGATTGCATAGTTGATTATAAAATAAATATTTTATCCTTAGCTGCATAAGATTTAGTTTATTATTAAAGTAAATCCTTCAACAAATAAGAGGAATTAAAATTGTATTTCTGTTATTCACATTCTAGGATAACCCATTCGATTAAACAACTTTCCAAGTATTTCCAGTCTAGAACATTTTTCTCATATATTGTTAAAATTACAAGGGCAATTGAAGCATGCAGCCTAGTGAAATATTCTTATGTATTATAGATACAAATATTTTACTAAACTTGTAGAATGAATTCATTTTCCTTAGGACATTTATCTTCCTATCTCCAGCTATTCTAATTCTGCTTTTTAAAAAAAGATACATAATTTACTCTTAAAAATCTGAGATATTTGGGGCTGGTGGATTGGCTCAAGTGGTAGAGTGCCTGCCTAGAAAACATGAGACCCTGAGTTCAAACCCCAGTACAGCCAAAAAAAAAAAAAAAAAAAAAAACCTGAGATATTTGAAACATTCAGGAAAAAAGACAATATCTCTATAGTACCTACAGCTTTATGTAAATTTAGTTTAAGTAAAGAAGATCATAATTTGTGATTTACCAATGCTGCATGTAATCTCTTTTCACTTTTCATGTTTTCTTTCTCCTCTTTTGTTAATTTTTTTATGCTAACATATCTCATTCCACATGTGAGCTTTGCTTGTGGAATGTTCTTCATATTACTAATGAAATTGTATGGGATATTTAAACTCTTTATTAATTTATTGGCTTTTTATTTTTTTAGGTGAAAATGCAGTAAATGTACAGCTTAATTCTATGCTTTGTCCTGCACCTGTCCTGAGTAAAGCTGGAGAGTAAGTACTTTATTAAAATCAATGTTAGCAACAAATTGTTATAAAGTGACAAATATATATTGCAGTTTTATTATCTTTTTTGCTGTACATAGTGAGCATTAAATTGTGAAATTTATACATTAATTATTGCTAATACTTCAATTATATCCATAGTACATTGAAAATGCTAATGTGTTTTATCTTATTTCTAAATATTCATTAAAATGTTCTGTAAATATTTATCTGAATAGATTTGAGAACTGTTGTTAAAGACAGTAGATAATCAGAACCACAGCCATTATTTTGAACCTTAAGATATTATATTTACACACACACATACTTACTTATGCACAGACTTCCAAACTGAGATTTTTGAGTACTTATTATAATATATAGTATATCTTAAAGAGCAATTGAAACAAGCTCATTATGGTCCACCTCAGACTAAGTAGTATTTGAACATTTTTACTGATTTATGCTTTAATTTATATCCCATTTTTGTTAAGGTCTATATTCATATTTTGTGTGTGTGTGTGGCAACGAGCCATCTTGATAGTTGGTTACAATAAGGATTATTTGGTTTGGAGGTTTGGTTTCTATTTGAATCATCTATATGCCAATCATTTTGTTAACAACTCAGTATTTCCATTTGTGACTTTTTTTGTATCCCCTCTAATATGAAGCAAATGATTGTAAATACTTGAGATGTCCTCTAGCCCCATAGCAATGGATGCAATTGTGTAGAATAATTGGTCAAATACAATTTCTGGGCATACTTTATATTGCTCTTTCACATAGAACAGAGAAATATTAAATATACAAGGCAAGGATCCGAAATCTGAATTAGTGCTCAGAGTGACGATTATATCTTCTTCCATAGAACTAAAGAGAATCATTTTAGTATTTTTATGTTGCCTTGAGCAGTTTGCTTTTGTGGATGCTTAAATATTGAAGATATATGTGGAATAGCACTTCTGGTCATACAAATAAATTTGAATAGTATGAACTTTCTGTTCTAACCAGATCAAAAGGTGCGGCATAATAGAACTTAATGAAAGTAAGACTATTATTCATTTTCATTACCTTGCCATGTAATAAGAATCTAGTGTTATTGACAATGTGCCTGTGGCTGAATTCAGCTGGTAATGGAAATTTGAGGCATGTCAGTTTACCATAGGGCCATCTTCTCCCCAAACTTACAGTAGGATTCAATGACTTTCTTGTATTAGTCATGACTGGTCTATTAAAGTTTGGTCTGTTTTATTGAATTTGTTGATCCTCCTTATTTTTCCCCCCAGCTGCTCCTCAACTTTTCTTTCCTATTTTAGTCATTGGAAACTCCATCTTTTCTGTTGTAACTTCTGAATGACAATTAATTTCTTTCTGTTCTATACATAGTCTGTCCATGTCAGCATGCTTTTCAGCTCTAATTTCAAAATAGGTCCAGAATCCAATCTTAGCTCACTCCCTTCTCTACCACCATCCTAGACCAAGTTACTGTCATGTTTTGCTGGTTTTATTAGCTTTTCTGCTGGCTTTACTGTTTCTGTCCTTGGTAAGAGCAATCATATTAAAATAAATAGGTGTATGACACTCCTCCACTTAAAATCGTCTGAAGTAAGTTCCTCATCCACTTAGAGTACAAAGACTTAACATTTGTAGTCCTCTACAAGGTTCTACAGGGGCTGCTGCCTCACTTCCTTTCACAGTCCATCTCCTATTTGCTTCTCTGCTCACTTATGGTCACACCGACCTCTGCTGTTTCTTAACCATGCCAGCTCACTCTCTCTCCTGTCTGCACTTTTATAAATGCGGTTGCCTTTAGGTGGAAATGCTCCTCCCCTCATGGCTGGCTCCAGTTCCTTTACCTTCTTCAAATCCTGTTCATATGTCATCTTTACAGTAAGTCCTTTCTGGCCATCATAATTGATCAAGCAATCTCTCCCTTCTTTGGTCCATAATTTCCTATTCCCTTTTCATATTTTAATTTTTCTCCAAAGCACTTCTTTGTTACGGTGTGTCTCCTGCTAGAAAAATGTCATTTGTATTATTTCTTGTAGCATTCCCTAGTACCTCACCTGGGGCCTGACACATAATTGACTCACTAAGCATTTGTTGGATGAAAAGGTGAATGAATTTTCTTAAATGTTTTGTTTTACATTAGAAAGAACTAAATGAGGTCATTTATTACTGGAGTGAGGGACCTAGATTAGATATGAGAAAACTGGTCTGAATTTTACTTTGGGGAGGTATATACAATTAAAAGAACAGAAAACTATCTGACTTTTTAATAATAATGAAGTTAAGGAAGGCAGCTGACTTTCTTCTCCAAAGAAATTAAGAATGAAATATGCCTATTCTAACCCAGGCATTGAATTTGTTTCTCTAGCATTTGCCTTTGGGTGCAGTCTCCTTTTGAATAGAATTCTATAAGGGGCACTGATACTCTTTAATGATTTATAGATAGGCTAACTACTTGTGAGCTATGATTTTAAAAATTATACATACTATAATAAATATCATATTTGAGATATCATCATTTATTTAGCTTTTGGCATTAATATTTCACCTACAGGCAAACTGAGAATGTTTGGGTTGGAAAACTATCTAAAGGAATAATTTTTTGCCCTTTAAATTTTTCTTTATTAGGCAAATGATACCACTCTGAGGCACAGCTTTAGAAGATTTTATTTGTTAACATATTGGGTATTTGAGGACATCATTATTTGTTCTATTTAGTATATTGCAAGTAATTTGGACCTTTTCTTTTGCCTTGAATTTTCTTTAGATACTTTTGTAGGTGATGAGTTCTTATGAGATTGGAATAAAATCAACACAACTGAAACAATTTAGCCTTGTAAGGTGACTGATGCTTAATAGGTTTGCCTAATTAGCTTTTGGCTAAGGATTCAAACCCATTAAGTAGCTAGTTAGTCTATGTTTCAGATAAACACATCTGGCTCAGCAATGAATGGAGGTCTTCCCTGTGTGTGGGTGACAGATGTGGTCACAGTTCCCCCTGTTCTCTCATTTAAATAATTAACAACACACTGGTGAAGTAACCCGAGACAGACAGCCTCAAAGCCAGATATGTGGTCTCAGAGCTGGATCCATGGACTTGTGCCTCATCTCATTAGCCTGCCCTGTCAGTTCCTCTCTCATATTTATGTTTTATCCTGAAGTGCATTTTTAAAAGATTTATTCTTTTAAAAATTTAAAGCTTGTGGATTTTGGGTTAACTTTTTTTTTTTTTGGTGGTACTGGAGTTTGAACTCAGGGCCTCATGCGTGCTAGTCAGACACTCTTACCGTTTGAGCCACTCTACCAGCTGGGGTTTGGTTTAAAAGAGGGTTAACACCAAGTTCTTTACTTGTAGATGGGGACTAAAGATGTAGCAGAGTAGCTAAGACATTTCTCTGCATTCAAAAATTGATGTTACACAGTAAATAAACGTTATAAACAATTGGGCAGATCCTATCCAGGAATATTATTGTTGAGCATAATTGGAACAGGGCTTTGAGGAACTTTCTGTGAGAGACTTCCATGTTTATTGAATTTCTTTATTTCTAAATTAAACTTCAGTCTAAGGTAAACAATTTCTTAGTATTTAAACAAAAAAGAAGGTAAGAGTGGTAGTAGTGAGGTTGTTTTCTTCTATTCTTTCATTGGACATGATTTACTTTAAAAATACCATATGATTAAGCAAACTGTCTTACCAGCAATAAATCTGCATTAAGGAGTTGTTTCTACCAGTGGTTCCTTTGTACCAAAACACCTTTTTAAAGTTCGACTAAGATGACCTCTTTAAAGTTCAAACCTCTTCCCCCTTCCAGGGCAGTAGTCTCACAATTTATTATGCAGGTATCATACCTACTGACTTATCTGCTTATTCTCTGACCCTTGTTTTGTGAGACATCAACAATAGTACAGCTGGTCTGCAATAGTTGAGTTCTCAAACCCGTAATTTGGCAAGAAGAACAGAACAAATTGAGTAAATATACACAACACATTGAAAAACAGAACAGAATGAACCAGAGCCTTATCCTACAGCTCGTTTGATAGAGAGGATTTAAGGAGGCATATGGTATAGTTGAATGTGCTTTCAAAAACATTGGCCAGAATCTTCTGGCAAATATGAAATAAAAATCTAAGTCAGATAAAGTAATAGTATTAATTCTTTTAAAAGGCAGTGTGGGAGGACACTTGACAGAGTGTTTTGCATAAGGAAGTGGGACATCAGTACATGAGGAAAACTGTAAGCTTCTGATACCAAAGGGTCACTAGATGAACACTGTGGCTGACTCGGGGTTAGAGCTGGACTTACAGAGTTATTTTTTTCAATATTAAACCTAGTCTATTTTGTCTGGAATCAAATTAATTCTAATCATTTTTTCTCGATTGGCTAAATTCTGCCTTTTACCACAGCTCTCTTTTTCTTTTAAAAACATAATGTGTATATGTGTGTGTGTGGGTTTGCATATGTATAGAACCTCTAATTCAGTGCATTAACAGCAGCTAATAAAATCACAAATGTATTCATTTTTCTTTTCTTTTCTTTTGTAAGGAATGAGACTTAGTTTTTTCGATCATTGATTACTTATGTCTTTATTTGGAGTATACACATTAGAACCTTGGTGAAATGGGTTAAAGCATCGAGAACTCTCTCTGTCCACCTCCCTCTATAAAGAACATTTATCTATTCATTCTCATAGTATATTGCTTTCTGATTATACCTATCAATATGATAAATTCATCTAATCTGCATTGTAACTACATTATAAGTATTATATTCAGTTCTAGACAAATGTCTTTAAGAGGTTCAATAATTAATTTCAGCAGGTGTAGGTGTGGCCAACAAGATGTTGCCAGATATGAAAATGTTCAATAAAATGCAATTTGTAATACTGGAGGAAGGTACAACTCAGATATAACACATTTGCTCTCCTCATGTCATGCAAAATGTTTGACTTACTCTTTATTGCTACAAAGAAAGAAAAAAGAGTAGCAGATAAAGGGAAGCA